CAAACCCTGTCCTTTTGGGGTTTTACGGAGGCTTTATAACATAGACATGATTGATTGCATCACTGCCATTGTCAACTGATTCTACCTCCAGCTGCTCACCTCTCAGAGTTGGGGGAGAGGTGGTGTGGGACTGAAAGTTCCAACCCTCTAAGCACATAGTTCGCTCCCCAGGCAACCAGCCCCCATCCTTAGGTGCTTTCCCAAAGCCACTCCATCATTTTTTTAAGAAGACACATTTATATCTTTCATCACTTAGGAAATTCCAAGGATTTGGGGAGCTCTGCCAGGAACAGGGATGAAGACTAAATATTTTGTATTGTATTTCTTATGATAAATCATAATATTAAAAATATCTATCTCAGTCTCTCTGTCAAATGATGAAAACCTCCTACAATGCAATGTGAATACAGTGCAAAGAATAACAGGTAACGTTGCACCCTTCTCGAGAGATGCAAGATTTCATGAGATCAAGGATGAAAAGTGATGTTTGGAAAATTTGCCAACGCCATGTATTTGGAAGGATCCAGAAGAGTTAGACCTATTACTATAACAAAATCAACAAGAATGATGACATGATGATTCAAAAAAGAACAAACTGAATGTCAAAGCATTTACTAATGGTTTTGGAGGGGAAAAGTTGAAATCTTCACACTTTTGCAAACATTGACCTTAAGTCATTTTTCCCCCCTGAGCACATCATAGAATCCTAACAAATACTTGTTGAATAGGTGAAATAGAATAAATCTTATTTTTCTCACATGACAGCTCATTCTAATTATGTAACGGCATTGCTTAAATATTTATTTTTTGGTTAATCCTCACTGAGGATATTTTTTCCATTGATTTTGAGAATGGAAGGGAGAGGGAAGAGACACACACAGAGAGAAACATTGATCTGGGAGGGACACATTGATTGGTTGCTTCCTGCAGGCACCCCAAATCGGGGTGCAGGATCAAGTCTGCAACCGAGGTTCCTGACCTGGATGGGAATCCAATCAGAGACCCTTAAGTCCAAGGGTGACTCTCTAACCACTGAGCCAAACCAATGAGGGCTATTTAAACATTTTGCACGTGATCATTTGTTTAATTATTCCATCCTCAAAACCTTATGAAACAGAAAATTGAAGTACAGATTGGTTAACTAACTTGCTGAAACATGAACATCTGGCTTCAACACCTGGCAGTCAGCTGCAGAATCTCCGTGCATCCTTGTCTCCCCTTTTCCTTGTCTCTACCATGTTCTTCTCCCACCTGCAGGGCACTGGATGAGGGCCAATCCCTGTGTTTGGTGTATGAGATTGACAGCAACCTCCTTGCTAGAGTGAGCTGGACCCTGGAGAGCCAAGCTCAGAGCCTCGGTCCTGCAGCTGCCCGGCAATGGAAGCTGGCGATGGAGGGGAGTTCTGCCAAGCTCAACACCCATTGGGCTCCCAACACGTCTCCATTAGCTTCTCTGTGCAAAGAATGGTGGGAGAGAAGAAGGGGTAGGATTCCTGGATTCTGAGAGCGGAGCCTTATGTCAGTGTGACAATACAGAGAAAAGGTATTTTTTTCAGAATATACAATGTCAGTTTCTCCTAGAAATAAATATATCCCGGTGTTTTAATAGGTCTCTTGCCAACGTGGGAGGACTACCCCAAGACTCTGGCTGTATGGAACGAAAGTTCTTTGAAAATGGCGGCCTCCAGTGTCATAATCCCAATGGGCTCGGCCATGTCGTTCGCCCAGACAGTCCCAGAAAGAAAATGAACCACCGGATGGAGAGACACCGTAATTCTCCATGATGACCATTGGCAGGCTGAGGCTTCAAACGGTCTAGTGAGCGTATGCACAGTTCACCCACTTCCGGTTCACAGTCCACCCACTTCCGGTTCACAGTTCACCCACTTCCGGTTTGGGGTGAACTGTGCGCATGCTCACTAGAACATTTTTGCTTACGTCACCAACTGCATCTAACCATCGGTTGCTTGAGGGACGCGGAGGTGCTGTGGAAGGTTAGCAGTGGGGATTCTGTGCGGTAAGAGGGGGTTTCGAATTGAAGTTGGAAGATTGGCTCGTTAATTTTCATTCCTTGTGTATTTTCTGTATGGATATAAGTATTTTCTTTTTGTAACAAATTCCAAGTGTACTTTAATGATCAGATTTTATATTGTCCCCAAAACTTGATCATTTGAGGCGCAACTTAAGGGGCCTTAAGTCGATGTTACTTGAGGACATTTGGGGAAGTGAGGCGATGAAGGAGGCAGTGATTGATGGGGAGCGGGAGCCTCTGTGATTGGAGGATTTTGAGGGTCACACTGTGACACACTCCGCTGGGGGGCAGTGATTGGGGACCTAATGAAATGGGTACAGTGGGGTGCTAAGGGTAGCATATGGGAACCAGTTGACTGCATTGCTCTCTGGCACTGAGTGTTGGGGTCCTTCCGGGATGAATGGTAAGGTCAGTGTTGGTTTCTCCTTGCTGTGCCTGTGGACAGGGTAAGGGTCAGTGATTGGCAGCTGAGCAGATAGGTGATGGTTTCCCATTGGGGGTGTTATTTGGAATCCCGTGTTGGGAGTTATTTCAGGTCCTGTGGAGACCACACTCTCTGAGACACATTTATTGGCGATCAAGGTACTAATGATTTCAGGAGCCTATGTCAGTGGCTGGGAGGCATTTCGTGACCTTCTGGTAGTCCTGTGGTCTGCTCATTGGGGGTTTCTGGAGGTCAAAAAGGATATTTTTGGGGACCCTGTCCTTGTAGGGGACTACACTGGATAGTGGCAACTTTGTGCAGTTTAGAATGAGGCAGTCACAGGATTGAGTCCCTTTGCAGACTGAGTGACCTTAAGGCAAATTATGTAACACAATTCGGTCTCAGGTTCCTTATCCACACAATGGGTACAATAATGATTATACGGTTGGGGGAGGCAGAAGAGGGTATATCACTAGATTCAGAAAGAAGTGATGAGCCTCTCATAGGTAACCAGTGTATGGACTGGTTATGGACTCTTGCATATGTTTATACAGGCTCCTAAACATACACACCAGGAGTCAGCAAACTGGCCATCAACTAAATCTGCTTTGCCATCTGTTTTTTAAAAGAAAGTTTTATTGGAACACATTCATATTCACTTGTTTATTGTCTGTGGCTGCTTTTGTGCTCCAGTGGCAGAGTTAATTTTGTTAACGACCATGTTATCTACAAGCCAAAAATATATACTCTCTGGCCCTTTACAGAAGAAGTTTGCCAACATTTGTTATCCACATACACTCATTAGTATGCTCATAATCATACATCTACGTAGGAACTCTTTCCTGTTTTATAAATACCAAATCATACCATACACATGTGTACTTGTTCTTTTCACAAAATACAGCTATCCAATATCTGCATGGTATTCTATGCTATAATTTATCCAACCATCCTCACATTTTTTATTCATTCTCCCCCCCCCTTCCTTTTTTTTTTTCAGTTCACCACAAAAAAGCAGAATAGCATCATCTTTAAGTGGACTGGCCCAGGATCCAGGTTCCTGTATTTAATTCTACATCAACTGGGCAAGTCATTTAATTCATCTGTCCTGGTTTTCAAGAGGAAGATTATAATAGTGCTTACCCCATGAGTTTGCATGAGAAGTGTGTGTGTGTGTGTGTGTGTGTGTGTGTGTGTGTGTGAAGCACTTAGAACTGTGTGGGGAGAACCAGCGCTTGGTGAATCTGAGTGGGACAATGCATGGATGGATGGATGGAGGGAGGGAGGATTAGGGATGTCAGAGAGAAGAATCAAGTAAAATAAACTCTCCTTTAATAAGAAACCAGGTGAGGCAGGTCAGAGGGCTTCCCTGCAGCCCATCTTAGGGATTTTGTTCCAGCCTCCAGATAACCCTCAGCTTGGCACTGGGGTTCCTGGGGCTGGGACGGTGATGTCCACGGTGAGGTTGGTGTAGAGAGGCTGCAGCTCCTTGGAGAGCAGCGTGTAGCCTAGTGAGTTCACGCCATCTTGTTGCCACCTGCTTTGGATCTCGGCCAGGAAGCCAGGACTGGGGGAGCAATAGCCATGTGAGCCCAGGGCTCAGGGATGACCCAGAACCAGCCACCCCATTCCAACCCTGACTCACCTCTTGGGACTCTGCTCATGGCTGTGGTCCAGCCCGTCCTCCAGCATGTGGTAGCGGCCAAAGAGCAGATGGGGTCATGAGAGGAGCATCCCATTTAGCTCCAGCCTTAGAGGGAAGAGGGCAGACGCTAAATGCCTGTCTCCCCTGATAGGTTCCCCAGGTCACAGCGCAGCCTCCCAGGCCAGGGTGGCCCATGCCCCCCTCAGTCTAGGGCAGCCTGTAGTTCCCACACCACGGAGGAATCTGCAGCCCTGTGCTAGGCTCCCTAGAGCAAGGCCTCCCCACCTGGCAGCGATGTCATTGTCCTCACGATCCCAGTTCCAGTACGTGTTGGGAAAGCCATTTATCTTGAGGTAGTGAACTGGACGCAGGGCAAACACCCCTCCAAGGTAGCCTCAGTAGGGCCGCCTAGAGATGGCAGAGAGAGTTGGAAACACGAAGAAGTTCAGGTAATAGGCCCTGAACCTTTCCCGGCCAGGATCTCCAAGGTTAATTTCTGGGTTAGCCCTTCTCCACTCACCCCTGTGATAACCTCTCCTCCGACCCATACCCACTCCCTGAATCATCTGACAAGCCCATCTTGTGACCCCAATGATGGCCACCTTCCTGACCCTTACTTGGCCCCTCCTATCACTCATTCCCATCCTCTGACCTCAGTTAAAAACCTGTTTGCCTACCCCTTTATTAGGTGCATCCTGCCTCCCTTATTAATGACCAATTCCATCCCTACTTGGCATCCACATCCAAGAGGAAGATTCTTCACTGTCTATGAGGTCTTTGCTCAAGCCCCGTCGTCCCCTCCCTGCCTCAACCCCAGGGACCAGGGTCTGGATCATACACATGAACAGGGCACGATTCTGGGAAGAACAGGGCCTGGCCAACAGTCCCCCTCCCTCCACCTACTTGTAGTTGAACTTGTCGATGGCCACAGACGCGTGGGCAGAGAAGATGTCACAGATGTAGAGGTTGCGGTTGTCCTCTGGCAGTAGGTTCACATCGTGGAAGAAGACCCAGTCCCAGTCCTCTTCTTGCATGGCCTCCCAGAACCCCACATTGCGAAGCTTGCCCCGGTTGAAGGCGGTGTTGTTCACCTGGTGGACAGAGATGCTCAGTGCAGTCCTCACCAGCAGGCAGTGGTGTTCTCTCACCTGCCTCGCCCATCCTTCTCACCTTTTCAAGTCCTGTTCTCCTGCCTGGAACCCCTTCTTATTCCCACTTTGGAGCCGGAAAACCCGCGCTTGTCCAGAAAGGTACAATGTAAAGGTTACTTCCCCTGGGAAACTTTTCTTGGATCTCCACCGCCCACCATCCTAGGCAGAGTCAGTAACTTCAGCCTCTCAGCTCTCCCTCCTCAGCCATCTTCAAGGTTCTCAAGGATCATCACCTTCAAGAGATCATCTGAGGGAGGCAGAGTTTAGGAGTAATCAGGGACCACTGGGTCTGTTTCTGTTCTGACCAGACAATGACTGGGTCTGATGCCCAGGAACCATGACAGGATTTGCGTCTCCTCCTCCTTTTCTTCTTCCATCATCATCATCTTCTTCTTTATCACCGCCACCTTAATTGTTACATCATCACTTATTATCATCATGTCCATCATCATTACCATCACCACAATCTTCATTACCTCAACATAATCACATTAACTCCATTATCACTATCAGCATCACCATCATCATCACCATGAACAGAGTTATCACTATCACCACTGTCACCACTGTTAGCAACAGCATCTTAATTGTCACCATAATTACCAGAATCATCACCATCAAAACAATCATTACCATCATCAAAATCACCGTCATCATCATCACATCATTTATTGAGAGCCTACTATGTGCTAGGCATTGGCCTCACTGCTATACATTCACTAAGTCGATTAGTTTTTCCCACGACCCAATAATGCAGGTGTTATTATCATTGTTGTCTCATGGGGAGAAAACCATGGCAAAGAGGTAAGTTCCCCAAGTTTATTATACATAGTTATTCCGGTAACAGCGGGATGGATGGATGGACACATGGTCCCACACTCAGATAACACATGTAGTAATGGACAAGACCAGGATTCAAACAGGCATCTAACTGATCCCAAACCCCTTTAATTCACCCCTTATCTTTATTGCCCAATCTGGTCAGCCCCGGTCTCAGAGAGGCCTCGACTTCATGAATCAGACAGAGCCTTTCCCACAGGCAGCCATTCAAGCTGATCCCAAACTCAACTAGTTAAGACCAAACCTATAGTCCTTGGCTCTGATTGCCCCCAATTCAAGATCTGTACTCATAAATCCAGCCCCCCAGATAGTCTGTGACCCAGACACTCTCAGCTCACAGTGACAACTTCAGCTCTGATTGTTCAAACTCATGCTAAAGGCCCTCTGCCCTCTTGCCCTTGACCCTCCCCATTCCTGCCACACCTGATTCACCACATAGATGGCATAATGCAGTTGCTGGTGCTGCAGGAAGGGGTGCAGGTGGAAGAGCAGGTGCTGCAGGTGCTGGGCTTGCCCATAGTAGGGTACCACTATTGCTGTGTGGTGCCGTGTCCAGCAGTTGGGTGGCTGGTATTGGCCTCGCAGCTCCATCAGTGGGTTCTTTTCCACCACCTGCTCCATTGTCAAGTTCTCTGGGATCATCACCTTCAAGGGGCCACCTAAGAGAGGGAGAGGCTAGAGATGATCAGGAACCTACCCCAGAAACCCCACACCCCAGTTTTACTGGGTTAAATCATTCCCCGCCCCCAAATTTCCTATCCACCCAGAACTTCAGAATGTGACCTTATTTGGAAATAGGGTCCTCACAGACACAATTGGTTAAAACGTGGTTCTACTGGATTAGGTTTGGCCCTGAAGCCAATGGCTGGTGTCCTTATAAGAAGGCCTTGTGGCCCTGGCCAGAGCTTCTCAATGGTTAGAGCATTGGCCCACACACCAAAGGGTCACGGGTTCAATTCCAGGTCAAGGGCATGTACCTGGATCATAGGTTTGATCCCTAGTCCCAGACAGGGCGCGTGCAGGGGGCAATCAATCAAAGTATCTCTCTCTCTCTCTCTCTCTCTCTCTCTCCCTCCCTCCCTCCACTCAGTTCTCTCTCTCTCTCTCTCTCTCTCTTCCACTCTCTCTAAAAGCAATGGAAAAAATATCCCGTGGGTGGAGGATGAGGACGAAAAAAACATGGACCACTACTCAGCTGAGCCCTTCCCATACTCCTGACCCTCATAAACTTT